CATTCCTTTGTCAAAGAGAGAAGCCAGCTACTGGGCCAGGGTGACCTCTAGGCAAGAACATGTAATTATGTGTGCGGTAATAAATTCTGAGGAAGAATCAGGATGTATCATGTAGCAGGCCACTTCAGATAACTGCTCCATGTAATGTACTTTCCAGAAGTTAATTCTATTTTCATTTTCCAGGTGACACGAAAGTGGTTTTCAAATAATTTGTTTATAGAAGTAAAATAGTCATTGACAACTGGCCAAATCCACAGCCTCTGTATGCTATCAGACTAACCTTAGCGGAGCAAACCCTCTTCCATTTCTCTTTGTTTTACCTTTCCTAAGGCACCAGGCAATTTGTCATGAAATAAAAATTAGGTCTTTTTGTCTAAAATAAATCCCAGCAGGTCGGCTGAATAGAAGTAAAATGAAAATGATGTCTAGTTCCATTATCCATTTTATCTTTTTAGAACCAGGAATGGTTAGCCGCTTACTGTTTTTATTTATTTATTGTTTTTGTTTTTTTCCTTTCAAGACAGAGTTTCTCTGTGTAGCTTTGATGCCTTTCCTGGAACTAGCTTTTATAGACTAGACTGGTCACAAACTCAGCGAGATCTGCCTGCCTCTGCCTCCTGAGTGCTGGGATTAAAGGTGTGCACCACCACTGCCTGGCTCTGCTTGCTGTTTTAATCAAGACAGAATGGTTAGCAAAAGAGAGCAGAAAGATTTATGGTGCTTGAAGGTGCACTGAACTCCAGGTTTCAAGCATACAAGTTATTCTTTTTCAAAAATGCCCTGTTGCAGCGCCATTGACAACAATGACTTTGACTGTCATTATTCAAATTTGATATTTGACTAATTATTTTTTTTGTTTTTGTTTTTTTAAATATATTTATTTATTATGTATACAATGTTCTGTCTGTGCATATGCCTGCAGGCCAGAAGAGGGCACCAGACTTCATTACAGATGGTTGTGAGCCACCATGTGGTTGCTGGGAATTGAACTCAGGACCTTTGGAAGAGCAGGCAATGCTCTTAACCACTGAGCCATCTCTCCAGCCCCCATATTTGACTAATTATATGCTCCCAAGTCATCCTTAGTGACAGCCACAAGGCATTATGGGTGGTCAGACACAGGCTCCACAATGAGAAGAAACACTTATGTCGTCTCCAAGAGTACTTTTCATAGTTGTCTCACTGATGCTACCACCCAGCCTGGCTGGTTGGCTTCATGGCCGTGAAGACATAGGAAGCTGGAGGCTTAGCTCTCCAGCCCACTTCTCCCTGTTCTGGACACCTCAAACACCTGTCTGGCTCCTCTTCCATTCTTGAACCTTATCCTGGTCCTGTTACCCCTCCTGAAACCTGAGATCATAGTAGGCCCTGTATCTGTTCCCATCATCATTCAAGAACACAATTCTGTGGGTGGTGGCGGCACACACTTATAGTCCCAGGTGGTGGTGGCTCACACCTTTAGTTCTAGCACTCAGGAGGCAGAGACAGGCGCATCTCTGTGAATTCGAGGTCAAAAAGCAAATTCTAGGAGAGCCAGAGCTACACAGAGAAAGCCTGTCTCAAAAACAAAAACAAAAAACAACAACAACAAAAAAAACACTAACAAACAACAAAGTACGTAACTCCACAGGCTGCCAGGGATCCCAACAGCTACTCTTGCTCCCTGCTGCCTTCCCTAAAGATTCACTCTTATGGGACCTCCCTGAGCAGAACATTGTCTAAAGAGCTGATAATTAATATCACAGTACCATAGTATCATTTGTCTCTCTTGCCTTCATGCCAGAATGCTTTGATGTCAGTGAAGTAACGTACTACTTGAAGGGATAGTGCAAGTGTTCAGGGCAGGTGAGAACCCACTGGGGAAGCAGCAAATCCTTTTATGAAAATGATTTAAATGACATAAAGGTTATCTTGACATGGATAATAAGAGAAAGAAGTCCTTTGAGAGAAGAAAAAACTAAGACACTAGTGGTGACACAGAAAGGAGTTGCCTGCTGCTTTCAAATGTCCCCAAAGCCAAGAGCTTGAAACTTAGGTGATGGCAGGGATAATATCCAAAGGTATTTTCCTGGCGATATAAAGAACTTGTGAGATCTAGAAAAATTAAAGGTGGAGATTTGGTAGATTTAACAGAAATCTTTATACTGTTTTTTTAATAGACAATGAAGATGACAAAAGCTCTCCAGGTTAAAAATAAAGCATGGGTTGGGGGGAGATGGCTCAGAGGTTAAGGACACTTCCTGCACTTCCAGAGGCCCTAAGTTCGATTCCCAGCACCCATATGGCACACAGTACTGCCTGTAATTCCAGTTCCAGAGGATCCTAGGCCTCTGGCCTCCCGGGGTACTGCATTTGTATGCATATTCCCCCACCTATATCATTAAAAATAATAAAAGTAAATTTTAAAGCATAAAATGAGGAGTATAAACGTGCTACTTACCTGATTCTTATTGAAGGCAATTCTCAGTGCTGGGGGATGGCTAAGAGGGTTAAAGTACTTCTTGGTCCAGTGAAAGGCCCACAGTTCAAATCCCTAAAATCTTACACAAATACCAGATGAGTGTAGTAGCTTGCCTATAATTCCAGCCTCGGAAGCAGAAGAAAGGGCATTCACAGAGTAAGCTAGCAGGCAAGGTTAGTCGAATTCATGATACCTGCATTTGAGTGAGAGACTGAAGCTCAGTGTAAAAGGTGAATGAGTGGCTGAGGATGATTCCAGATATCAACCCTGGGCGTCCATGTGTGTGTGCCAGCATGCACACAGGGGGAATGGTAAGTCTTAAAATGAGACAAACGAAACCTATAGATAACACTGTTTAGGAGAACATAATCCTATGCCAACTGTGTATCTATTTTTCCATTCTGTTTAACTTCAAAGGGCTCAAATAAATAAAAGAAACTCAGTGGCTCTGGAATCATCTGAGGAGAATGACTGCTTCATTCATGGAGCCAGAGCAGAAGGAAGGACCAGAGCCACTCCAGGGATGGAAAACCTAAAGGTGTCAGGTTGCAAACAATGGTTGACTTCCTAAAATGAATGTTTCTCTCCATAGGAAATGTACAAAGAGGGTCTATGAAGAGTGTCGCTTGTGGGAAGCACAGAATGGACACATCAGGGATCATGCTTATAAGGAAAAGGCTTCCGAGTTTCAGCAGAGCATCTTCCACTCGGAAGTGTCCATTTTGTGAAAGCCAAGAAAGAAACATCAAGTCTTTTAGCTAGAAACTGTTATTATTTCCCTAGTGTCCTGTCAACGTTTTCAAAGTAACTACGTTACAGAAGCAGTATTGACAATTACTTTCAGAAATAATTTTGTTTGATTATTCACCCTTCGCAATTAAACCTAAGCAGTTTTGTGTCTACTGTAGTAAATCATTAAAATCTCCCTTATTGTAATCATATTAAATTAGCTGCTTTTATATTGTACAGACATTTTAATATTCTCATTGAATACTTGGCAACTAAATACATATTTAAAAGCTATTTTCTAGATGTTAGCATATATTTAAAAATGCATTAGCACAAAATGGAAAAAAAAACTATTTAAATTTAATGAACTTAGTACCTACAAAAATGAATTTTGAAATTAGAAAGCCAAAAACTGAAGTATTTGTTATGTTGGTATTTTATTTGTGCTTTTTAGCAATGTACAAATTATGTCTTTAATACTATAGAGCCCTAAACACCAAAGTACAACTTACAAGCTGTTTGCTTAGCTTTAATACAGTGACGCAGGGCTCTAGTGTATGAATGTTCCTAGAATTCGCCAAACACCTGGCCAACAGGATTCACACTGTTGCCCCTATAATGTTTCTTCACCAGTTTATGTGTTCAGCGAATTCCCATTTATTCTTCAACCCTAACTCAAAAGGCACTTCAATTTTAATGCTTTCCTGTTTCCAGGAAGGACGTCTCCCTGTTTCCATGGCAACTTCCCACCTCTTTTTAATTACACATAAATTATCTAGGCTTCACAAATATGTGTTTGCATTTAACACCTAAAGATGAACCTTACATTTTCTCAAATAAAGTTTGGTGAAAAACACGAATGAGCACCATACATTGTCATCATAAAGCTTAGAATTAATATAGAAGCAATGTAAAGACTTTCAATATTCAAACAAATAACAGCTGCCTGCATTTGTCACTACCAGAGCTGGATAGCAAGAGAACAAAGCTGTTACGTCGCTCCAAAAGAAGATGCAATCGATGAATGGTAGAGGGGGATATTTAAGTCTCCAGACTTTAAACACCAAGTCTAGCTCTCTTTATGCACATATACCTTCACACGGCACCCAAGGTTCCCATAACCTGGGTTTATTTTGCATTTGTCCTTTATATTTCACAGTTTACTCCAATAAACATAACATGCTCTTCTATCCTTAGCTTGTCTGCCATCGTTCCTAAGATTTTCTGTCTCTGTCCAAAGCACAGAGCAATTGCAGCTGCCGTGGAACTTTCCATCAATCTACGTCTGGATTTAATCTCTGCCCTATCTGTAGCTGCCTCTGACTACTTAACGGTGGCTAGAGATAGGCTTGGCACTAATCAAACAGGGTAGGATTACAAATAAGTGAAGGTTAGTCCGGTACAGTAAGCAGGGCACTGTTCCAGAAAGTGAGCAATTGTACTTCAAAGGCGAAAGAGGAGGATGGGGAGATGGCTCAACAGTTAAAGTGCTTGCCATGCAAGCAGGAGGAACTGCGTTCAGATCCCCAGAGCCAAACTGGGTGGGCATGAGGACCTGCTTACAATCCCAGCCTTTGGAAAGCAGAGACAAGGGATCCTAGCAAGCTGGCTAGTAAAACGAACAGTATCTATAAGTTCTAAGTTTGACTAAAAGACCCTACTTCAAAGAATAAGGTGGAAGAGCAATGGAGGAAAATTCTTGATGTCAACCTTGGGCCTCCACACACGTGCCCACACATACAAAAGCATGCATACGCACACTTACACACACACACACACATACACACACACACAAGAAAAGAAGAAAACATTAAAGTTGAAAGAGAAGGTCTATCAGTTCTGGTTGGCGCATGCACTGCTTGATGCTCTCCTTTCGAGCATAGGCCAAGACACGGGTGTCCTCCTGAAAGAAGCGGTGTCCCTCGTCAGTGAGTTTCCAGAGAAAAGCACGAGGTTTTCCATCTGTCTCCTCCTCAACCGGGGCTGGCACCTTTTCAAAGCAGGTCAGGGAACAGAGATTGTGGCGAATGGTGTTTTTCCAGCCTTCTGGTGCAGTCCGGAAATAGGGGAAATGCTGTCGAGTAAAATTGTAGATCTGTTGCACATTGAGGCCACAGGAAGGGCTGCTTTTTAATGCTAGGGCAACTAGATGGCTGTAGTTAAGAGGAGGGCGTGGCCAGGACTCCTTATCCAGGAGTGGATCAAGGTACAGTGTGTGCTTCTTGGTGTATTTGTTGGAGGACGTGCATCCCTGTTCCTCAGTCTCCTCGTCTTTGAGACCAAGGCCAGTGGATAAAACGGGCAGCCTTTGTTGCTGACAACGCTCAGTGCGGTGAAAAGACAGGGACTTTAACACCCTCTGAGTCCCTAAGCAGCTAGACTCAATCTTTGGGATTGGTGCACGTGGCAGAACTTTACGACTGGGATTTGGAACCTCTTTGCTGTTGGCGGGGTACACAACGTTGGGATTCACCCACATCCACAAGCTGGGTTCTGTGGGAGGATCATCATCATCATCATCAGGATTGGGTTTCCTCTCCTGAGGCAGGGCTGGTGGTGTTAGCAGTTGAACTTTGTATTTGACAAGACACTGCTCAGCGTAAGAGCACTGATCTGTGGTACAAGGCAGGAAAACTTCATTCCCCATGTCCCATTCCAGCATTCCGGGGACTTGACCATGGAGACTGTACCAAAATTCCCGATCTTTTAGCCTTACATCCATCTTTACTAGAGAGATAGATGGAGGAACACTTTCAAACTGTAAAGTCTCTCTGGCACTTTGGAAAGTTTTTGTTTATTTGTTTGTTGTTTTTGTTTTGGCTAGGGCACTGTTTAACACAAGATGTCTCAGCTATACTACGATCTATCAGTAGGCCTGCTCCGAGTGCTCTCACGAGGACACTGATACTTCATTGATCAGAAGTCTGGCTCAGAGAAGCCTTAGCTCTCTGGAACACGGCTCAAAACGGTAACCGAGAAGATCATTTTAGCAGAAACAACTGCTTTCCAACTTTTCCAAGTGTTTTCTCACCGTTGACCCCAAAAGGTGTCTTGATGGCTCTGTAAGATAACATGGTACATATTATTAACCCTATGTCATAGATATGGGAAATGACATTTACAGAATATTTAGAACTGCATACCTAAATAAATATAGGAGAGCTGGATCTATACTCCTTTCTTAGCCTTTTACAATACCCACGGCATGCTGATCTATCCAATGTACTACATAAAGTAAGCACAAAACTGAGTTGTAGACTATATTTGTACCTACAAGAAGGTTGCCCATTAGACTCACACTCAAGCTATTTTCTGCACTCTTCTGACTGCAGGCTTCTACTTCTCCAGCTTGCCTTCCTAGGCTATGGCTTCTAAGCTGTACTTTAAACACTGCATTAACAAAGGTTTGCTACATCATCTGAGAGCTTACCTTTCATGTAGGTTCATGTTAAGGAAATTCTCAAGAAGAAACAACAGAAAGGTGCCACTTAGCCAGTCTCAAAAAATCTATAAAGTACATGATTTCACTAAAAACATTATATAGGACTGCTACTAAACGGCATTAATTCCCTATGCTTTCGTATTTTCTGGTACTAATTTGGTCAAAAATATTGTTCACATAAGCATCTAGAATGACTTTTCTATTGCACAAATATAAGAATTAACAACAATAGCGTGAATTGACAATATTTGTTGAATTCTGTAAGTATTTTACATGACTTAACTCTATGCCAAAAATTACTCTATGAAATAAGCAATCATTCTTCCCTTATGTAGTAAAAACTTCTAAGAATAAATTACACAGCTAGATAATGGTGAAGCTGACTTTCAAAGCTATGTAGAGCTTGTGCCTTTACTCACTGTATTAATTTCTGTTGATTCTGTATCACAATATAGAACCCTACAACATAGCTATCGTTTTAGTATCATTGCTTCATAATTCATGTGTCAAAAGTACTAACCAGCTAGGATTTTCACTATATCTTTTTCCGGTGTCCGTTTGATCAAGAGCCTCTCCATAGAATGCCCTTCTCCCAAGTACCTTGGTTTAGCTAATACCTACTCATCATTTAAGTATTATTTATTGTTTGTGTGTATGAGAAGGGGGGACATTCGTGCCATTATGTCTGTAGAGGTCAGAGGCAAACTTTGTGGAGTTGATTCTCTCCTTCCACCTTTATATTTATTCCAGAAATATATCTCAAGTCATGGAGTTTGCACAGAAAGCACCTTTATCCATTAAATTGTTTTGCTGGACCCCTACTCATCTTTTAAGATTGAAGAAATATTGCTTTCACCTCCATATAAATGGATCCCTTTTACAGTAGGGCACTGGCCTGGAGAAAGCATGGGATAGAAACTGAAATACTTAGATTGTGCCAATTTCCAGACATCCTGGCAATATCTGAGTTTTTCAGCAGCCCATTGTTCTTTAAAGGCAGGCTCTACTGTTATAGAATGTCTCTTTCATCTTTCGAGAATAGAGCCCAATCCTCAGAAGTGCTCAATAAAACGAGTTCATTACTGTGTATTCTCGTGTAGGTGTGCACAGGTGTGTGTGTATGTGTGTGTGTGTGTGTGTGTGTGTGTGAGAGAGAGAGAGAGAGAGAGAGAGAGAGAGAGAGAGAGAGAGAGAGAGGAAGGGAGAGAAAGAGAGAGCACATTTGCACATGCTAGAGTATGGGAATGGAACTCAGAGGACAGTTGGCAGAAGTTAGTTCCCTCCTTCCACTGGAACTCAGGTCATTAGGCTTGGCACCAAGTGTGGTTACCTACTGGGCTACTGGGACATCTCATTAGCCTGAATTGCTGGGGTCAAAGGTGTGAGACACCACATCCAGCTCCTTTGATATTCCAAAGCATCCCTCTGCCCTGATATTGCTTCTCATCTAAAGAACTGGTAAACGAGATAGCTAATGTTGTAGGTCATGAAAAAAAATCCTTTTGCTATTACGAATCTCCTGAATTGTTTCAATAATGTAGAGGCAGTATTAAAAGAATGGAAAACCACCATCAAGGGGCTTCCATAACTAAATTTTATTTTTTGAACACATGTATTGTCATTAATTGAAACTATTTTAGTAAAAGACTGAGTATATGATGATATACTCAAAACTTATGAAAAGAACAAATATTTCAGAGTAGTTACGGTTCACTATTTTTATATAACAAAATGCATGAATATTTAAGCATATGCAAATATAGATATATACTTATTTCTGTAAGTGGCTAAGCAGGAAAGAACATAGGAAAAGCAATGAGTTAATCATAAATTATTTTGGAAAAAAACAAGTATCATATCAATGGCTGTTATGCATAAATATTTAGATTGTGTAAATTTCAAAGGTGCTCCAAAATAGAAAATGAAAATCTGTCCAGTCTTTGTTTTTAAAACCAGGCACCCAAGTTCTGGGGCTGTCATTCTGCAGGAGGTGCCTCTTTCTAATTCATACAGAAGAATCATTTATTAACCAGAAATCACACACGTGTAGAGAGGGACTCACACATAACTAAGAACTTGGAAGAATGATAAACACTGATGGATACACATAAAAATCAGGTAGAAAAAACCCAGTAGATGAAAATGTATTTTAAAGAAGAGAATAATCAAAAAAGATTCCATCCCTTATCTACAAATTTATAAAAATTATAATAAAATGCAAATAATGAATTTATAAATCTGAATAATGCTAAAAGACTAAATTCATAGTAAGAGGTCAGGATAATGGGGATTACAAGCCATGCATAAACTAAAGAATGCCTCAGGTTGGATGAAAACAAGTTGCAAAGAAACAGCTCTAAGAGATACAAATGAACTGCTGTTCTGCAAAACTCCCAACCCACTGCACACATTTCAATACCTATGAGATGAGCCCAGAAAATCAGTTTTATTGTTTTACCTTGGCAAGGCTGAGATGTGTATTTTAGGTAGTTGGGTAAAGTTAATGAAATTCAAAAGAAGTAAAATCCTGAAAAGACATCAAGATAAAATAAGTGTAACATTAAACAGAGGAGGAAAAGTACAAGTGCAGGAATAAAAACAATAAGTTAAACCCACTGTCTGTATCTTGTAGTAGACTTAAAAGGAAGTATGCAATGTATTTTTAATTGCTGTATTTGTGTAGGCTTCATATACTTCTTAAGCAGTTTAACTTGCTTCTAAAAAAGCCACATTAAATTTGTAATTACTGTTTATAACCTTTAGGATAGTCAGTTCATCAAAATTGATAACCAATGTTTAGATGGCCAAGCAAAGGTGGTTTAAAAATAGTTTAAACATCTGCTTCATGAGCTACTTGAATTTAATAAAGTTGAGCAGTAAGCAAAACACAAATAGTAATGAGTTGCCCTCGGTGTACAAACAGCATGTATAAGAATTTATTATTTTACTAGTTTTTCTTTCTAGCAATCAGATTAAAGTTCACATCCATGTACCAAAATTGGTGGTGTTTGGGGATGGCAAGATGGTTCAATTGATAAAGACACTAGCCATCATGTTCAATGGCATGAGTCTGATCACTGAGAGTCACATGATGGAAGGAGAGAATTGACTCCACGAAGTTGTCCTATGACCTCCACATATAGGCGTGATCTGAACACCCCCCATATAAACAAATAAATGCAAGAAAAGTCACAACAGAATTTTGAACACAGTATAGGTATGTTTGAAGCCATGTTTGTAAGAAACTATAGTAGGCATTGAGAATAAATTACTGTCATTTTATTCATCAACTTATCTCTGCCATGACATGCTAAGTTTCCTCATCTATGAAATAAGCATAATAAGAAACTTATCCTTTTGGGTTGTAGCGGCACACCCCTTTTATCCCAGCACTTGGGAGGCAGAGGTGGGCAGATCTGTGAGTTCAAGGCCAGGCTAGAACGAGTTCAGGACAGCCAGGGCTGCAAAAGAGAAACCCTGTCTTGAAAAACCAAAAAGAAAGAAAGAAAGAAAGAAAGAAAGAAAGAAAGAAAGAAAGAAAGAAAGAAAGAAAGAAAGAAAGAAAGAAAGAAAGAAACTCACCCCAATTAGTCACTGATATAAAATGAAATAATGTAAGTTAATTTATAATGTATATTAATACCTAATTTTAATGTTTGACATATGAAGTTCCATAAATATAAGATCTTATTTATGTTATTCTTTTGAAGAGAAGTATAGGTTCTTTAAAATATTTTTTAAATTTATTTTATTATTTATTTCTGTGTGTGTGTGTGTGTGTGTGTGTATACATGTAAGTCCACATGTGTGTAGGTGCCTTTGGAGGCTGGAAGAGGCTGTTGGAGCCTCTGGAAGTGTAGTGGCAGGTGGTTGTAAGCCTCTCTACAGGGATGCTGGGAACCAAATTTGTATCCTCTGGAAAAACAGCATGTGTTATTAACCACTGAATCATCTCTCTAGTCTGAAGTATATGCTCCTAATCATGAATGTTTCGTACATAAAACATATTGGAAGATAAGAACTGGTTATAGAGACTATATTGGGAAATATTCTTGAGAACTGGTTTTAATGTTTAATTTTAAAAGTTCTTTGAACTCTGCAATATGACTTCAAAAGTCTCAGACAAATTTTTTTTTATTTATTTTAACACTTTGAAAGTCCTAAAATTATTTCCTAACTTATTTGTAATGTCTTTTCAATTAAAAGACAGCCTGAAGGCTAATAGCTCCTTTATCTTACTACTTCTCTTCTAAATTTATGGCCTCACCTTCCTGGATAAG